CAGCAAGACTTCTTCACAGGATTGGGAAAAACTACTTTAACGTTCATAATGGAACCAAAAAAGCCTGCATTGCCAGAACAATCCCCAGCCAAAGAACCAAGCTGGAAGGTATTCACTAACCGGACCTTCAACCGTATACTACAGGATACAGTAACCAAAATCATTCATGGTACTTGGTACAAATAGAGATAATAGAGCAATGGGAACAGAAACAGAGTCCTCAGAAAATAATAACCACACTTCTTACCACCATTTGATCTTTTGATAACCTGACCAAAAACAAGAAAGAGGAAGGGATTCCTATTAATAAGTGGTGGCTGGGGAGAACCTGGCTAGCCATAGTAAGAAGCTGAAACTGGAGATCCTTCCTTACCTTATACAAAATTAATTCAAGAATGGATAAAACTTAAATGTCTGACCTAAATCATAAAACCTAGAAAGAAAACCTTAGGCAATTGACCATTCAGGACATTAGGAATGGGCAGGGACTTCATGTCTAAAATACAAAGCACAGGAACAAAGCCAAAATTGACAAATGGGATCTCATTAAACGTAAAGAGCTTCATGCCCAAGCAAAAGAACTACCATCGCAGAAGTGGAACAGGCAACTACAGAAATGGGAGAAAATTTCCTGCATTCACTCATCTGGACAAAGGGCTATATCTGAACCTATGAGAACTAAACAAATTACAAGTGAAAAATCAAACCACCCCATCAAAAGTGGCAAAGATACGACAGACACTCTCCAAAAGAAGACATCATACAAGCCAACAGACACATGAAAAAATGTTCATCATCACTCGCCATCAGAGAATGCAATCAAAACCACAATGAGATGCCTCTCACCACAGTTAGAATGGCAATCATTAAAAAAAGAAATCAGTAACATGGTCATTTATTCTCATCTAGTATTATGAACTACACATAATATATGTGCTATACTTTTATATGACAGTGGAGTGGGTTTGTTTACACCAGCATCACCCCAAACACAAGTAGTGTGTTACACTTAAACGACCATTAGGATGGCTACAAAGTCACTAGGTAATAGGAATTTTTTAGCTCTTCTATAATCTTTTGGGACAACTGTCATTTCTATAGTTCCTCGTTGACTGAAACATTATGATGCAATGACTGGATATCAAATATAGTAAGAATCAACTTGTGATCTAATGTCTTGAATTTGATAAGGAGCCAAGAGAATTACCTATTTTTGGTCCCAGTAGTCTAAAACAATAATACACGTTTGTTTAACTGTGCTCTGAGTCACAGCATAACTAAAATTATTAGTATAT